CTCATCTGCTTGCGCAAGTATCCATGCTCCTGATCCATACAACGGCAGAGTCTTGTATAGTGTGATTTTGATCTGGTGGGTGGTGGCCGTGTTTTAGAATTGCTTACTCTGTTGGCCAACACTATTTTTCTCCGGATTGAAAAGCTGATGTTATTAGTTCAAGTTCCACAGTTGGTTCGAGTCGTACGCGTTGATACCATCAGCTTAGTCTTCTCGCCATTTACTGCCAGTCCCACTTTGGCAGACTCCTTCTCAATTTGTTCAAAGGAGGCTGTTACCAATCTCAATGTTCGAACCATTAAGTCGATGTCATCGGCGTAGGCGAGTAACATGTGTTGTTTGGAGTAAAGAGTGCCATTTCTGTTCACTTTTGCATCTCGTATGACCTTTTCCAGCAGGATGTTGAACAGGACACACGACAAAGTGTCACCTTGTCTGAATCCTCGCTCGGTAGTAAATGCTGCCGTATTAATTTTGCAGGAATGCCAAACGCTGAGTGGAACGAAAAGATGAAAATCTGGTCTATAGTGGATTTGCCAGGTCTGAAATCGCATTGGGGGTTGGACCTCGTTTTTGCTTGTTTGAAATCGAACCATAGAGCGCATAAAAATGTCAAACAAAGAGGCTAGATGGAGCGGTGCCTCCAAGTTTTGGATATAATTCCGGATCATTTCCATGCAATTAAAATAAACACTACATTGTTGTATCGGTCCGGTAGCGTTAACTGAACTTGATGAGGACTGTGATACGTTTGAACACTTGAGGCTGCTGCAGTAATATTCTTATTTGTTTTTTTAGCGATGTTTACATGCTAGAATTTGTCTACCAAATTTTGTAATGTGGTTCGACAAAGTGCTTCACGATGACCCAAAAATGTCATACATGTCGAAACACCTTTTCTGTTACGATTGAGCCAATCCTCTAGCGCGAAATTCATTGACCACTAATTATTTTTAATGCGAGGGAATGACACGTAGTCGTTGGGTGTCATGTCAATACTGTAGGGTGGATGACTCATCAATTCCACGTTTTAGACGGTAAAAAGAAATGACTCAGAATTGACCATATTTTTGTTGCACTGCGATCCTATTTTTTAACATTTTTGTACCAATCGACATGGACCTTTTTTGAGTACTTCCATGCTAAAAATACCTAACTTTCCAATGGAAAGGTCAGATGGCGCCAGACGTGTCTTAGTTGTTTTAGTAATGTCACGGATTCGACTTGTCAATTGGGCAAGAATAAACGGCATTCCCCTCTTCTGTAAATGTGTATCGAACACACGTCGAGCATTTCTTTAACACACTTTATGCGGTATGTTCTGGAACACAGGGTGCGTCTTTTACACTTTACACATACCCTTCCCCTCAGAAGTTAACCACTGTTTTGAATATAATATATTTTGTATAGCAACACTATTTCTGAAAAGTACCATGTTTAACGTTTAATTTTCTTTTTTGTTGTGCAGAAGTTCGAAATTTTAAATTCACGTAAGAACGGGAAAATGAGTTAACTTCTGAGGGGAAGTGTATGTGTAAAGTGAGAAAAACACACCGTGTGTTCCAGAACATACCCGAAAAACTTCACAAGTGACAGCTGCCGAAAACCGGGTAATTTATAATAACGCCTTTTGTTGATATAGTATTGTAATATTAATTCTATACAAGGGGTTTGTTAAACATTAAAATAACCCGTTTCAATTAAACTTAAAATCCTTGGCTGAGGATATTGACACTTCGAGGCCTTCGAACATACCCATTGTTACTTACTTTATAAAAACTACTGTGCCCTGGAATTACACATAAATTTGAGTTTATCTGTACGTACTTGTTTATGTGAATTCGTGTGGGTGTGTGTGTATGTTTGTACTGTATATAGGTGTGCTAAATAAGTCGTTTTTGTGTCGACCTACCTTAATCGGCTTAGACAATGTTTGAGGATTATTTTGTACTCATCACTGCTTAGTTTTGTGGCTTGGATTGTAAGACTGCTGTTGTTTGTTGTTTTTGTTGCTGCTGTAGTTGTTCTGTGGCTGATGTTGCTCACAACCAATTGAAACATTTAGTGGCACAAGGTGAAGGTTAGCTGCTTCGTCATCTTCTTCTTTCACTTTTTCATGTAAGCTCATAAACGCAATGCAATCAAACCAGGTTTGTGTGTCAGAAGTAAATAACAGACAGTTTATGGCAAATGGAATGAAAGGTTTATTGCTGAAAACAGACATAATCCTCCTGTTTGATATATGAAATATTCTCTTGTAGTTTTTAATAAAAAGAAAAAAAAACTAAAATCTAGACTTATTTTTTGTTCTTAATTAAAACATTATTGCATTATCAAGTTTTAAGGTGTCAAGTCGGATGAGTTTTAATTGCCGCATGGAAAATTATTTCACTTTTTTGTGCGGCAAACACTCTTCTAGAGATTTGTTTTCGTTATGGATAATAATTTACTCTCACACATAAACCGTTTCATTCGAAAAAAAGAGTTATCCTGTCATCCCAAGCCCCCCAACACCTATCCATCTACTATTCGAAAACACTAACTGTTGTTTTCCCCATAAGTTTGCCACATTTCATTCAAAATTAATAACTTTTTTTTGGATTTTGAATTATTAAAGGCTGCATATGGGGAAATTTAGCTGCAGTTCAGCTCGGTTCGGCTGGCTTCGGTTTGGTTCCATTCTGCTCAGCTCTTCAGTTCAGTTCCATCTGCAAATGTAAACAAATGAGATTTTCATTAAAAGTTTGTTCAATGATGTTTTGCTGGCGTGCTGTTGTTGTTGTTTTTAGTGAAAACTGAAAGTGTTTGTTCAAAACTTTTAATTCTGCCTGTCTGCCTGTATGCACCCCTCTTTCGCTCTCTGTCTATCTCTTTCTCTGCTTGTTAATATTTTATTTATGCGTCAATTTCACAGGCACTCCACCACTCACTGACACATCAATTATGAATTCTATGAGCTTTTCCTGTGATATTCTTTTGGCACGTAGTTGTTGTTGTTGCGATGTTTGTTGTGGGTGTGCCTTTCCAACTGTTTTTTTTTTGTATTTTGTGAACGCCTTTGACAAGTGGATTATTTTTGTAAGTTATAATTATGAAAGGTGTATTTCGAAAACAACTGTAATTATAGGCAAATTTAATTGCGTTAAATACTATTAAACACAATGATCGGGGAGGGAGAGTGAGGGGTGTAGAAATGATTATATAAACCATTAAAAATCGTGTCCTCCAATATTTAATTGTTTTATTATTATTATTACACAAGAAAAGTAACGTTAAATTAAATTAACGTTAAGACGAAAATTATCATAACATTAACCCTTTGTGGTCCATTGTTGCCCGCAGGCAATAAAATGTTTTAGACTGTGTGTTAAATATAAGATATTTAAGACGCAGCTAGTTAATATATTTTTTTGAATTACATATGTTGAGTCCTGAAAATGGACGACACATAGAGAAAAGGAAATCAAATCTTCCAAAAATTTGAATGGATTAAAAAAAAAAAAAATTGAAGGCTAAGAGAATGAATCACTGGCCCTTGGTTATGCAATGTTTGTGAAAACACCAATACATAAGGGATCTATCTCGGTAAGATGCAATGTTTTCCATTTAAGGGGACCCCCCCATTCTCGGGGTCAAATTTTTTTTTGATTTAATTCGATTCTACACTAATTCAAGAATGTCTCTACAAAATTTCAAGTGAAAATCTCAAGAACTCTTGATGATATAGCCGATTTATTGTGTCAGCATCAAGTGACGGCTAAAGGGCTTCTCAAACTTCAAACGCGTTTTTCTCTTTTGTGAATGGCGGGCACGATACCTCAAAAACTAATGACCCAATCGATTCCAAATTTTTACACGTTTCTCTGTGAGTGTATAGCTATCGTATGAACTAGGATAAAGCCAATCGGTGAAGATCTTCCTTATTTTTTAACTTGGTTTTTGGTCCAAAATCGGCGATTTTCCAAAAATATTTTTTCAAAAGTCCGTCATTTTGTTAATTTTAGAGCGAAGTCAATAATCCTAGTTCATATGAGAGCTAGACATGTACTCTTTCTAACACCGTTGGAATTTTCGGATTCCGATGTTCCAGTGAGGAGTTATCATGCCCGCCATACAAAATAAGGACCTTTCTTTAATTACAAAAAACAACAACAAAGCAATAAAAAATTTTTTTGTAAATTATTTTTCTTCTCTTTTAAATTTTCAAATATATATGTGCAAAGTTACAAACCTTAACACGCATTGGTATTGATTTACCAGCCCATTGAAAATCTTGAAAAATTAAAATCGAGAATGGGTGGGGTTCCCTTAACTGCAAAATTTCGCATCAATCCGATGTAAATTTTTTAGTTTAAGTTTATGTCCCACAGTTCGCAAAATTTGTTTCCAACAAATATACAGAACGAGTTAAACTAAAATATTTTTAGAAATTAGATTGACATCGGGAATGACAGAATCATTTAATATAATTAACAAATTTTGAAAAGTGTTTTCGTTTCCATTTCCCTTGTTGGGTATTCCGCTTATTTAGATCTTAACAAAATAACAATGTTAACGTGGCCACTTAGGCGCTGGCCAATTAACAGTTTTGGACAAAAGCTAATTCGGTTAAAATTCAACAATGGGGACTATTCTTCGAGTTGACATTGGTTGGGGGCGGCGAATGGCAATAAATGGTTGAATGGCTGGTCGGTTGGTGTCATGGTTGGCTGGCTATTAGACCATGGCCCATCATTCGTATTTTTTAAAATTTTTTTTTTCTTCTAGTTTTTGGCTGGAATCCTTGGATAGCATGTTTTGTTGCATTTTAACACATTTTTGTGTGTTGGTGTGGCAGTCAGTCAGTGAGTCAGCCTGTCTGTATGTCGTTTTGTTTTCTAAAAGTTTTTAATTTGATTACGTTCTATCTTGTTCTTAATAGTCGTCTTCTTATTGTCTTTTTGTCCTTATATGCATATATATTTTAATGTGTGTGTGTCTTTTCTTCTTGTAAATTTCAGGTACGTGCACGGCATTGGCTCTGAGACACGTAATTCCCTCTTCCATTTGCATAATGGCCGTGATATTATTTTGGTCACAACATGTCGCCATGGTAAAAGTTGGCGAGAATTGCAGGATGCCAGATGTGACGAGGATAATCGAGAATATGACAGGTATGTTGATGATGATAATGCTGATATACACTCTTCTAGCTCTTATCATTTGCCTTATAATCATTGCACAGCAGCTTGAGGAACACCACTGCTGGCCACTGGTCGTTCGGTCCATTGTGTTGCCCTTTGGGTTGATGTGGGTGTGTGTGCAGAAGCACCTGAGTGTGTTTCTGTCAACCGTTGAGGCTAGCTGTCAAGCCAGCAATTGTATTTATTAAAATGTAATGTAATTAAGTTGTCGTGTCGCTGCTCACCGTGTCGTAAAATTCTCACAGGTGTGAAATTCTTTGGATTGTCCGAGTGACGCTTTGTTGTTGTACATCTAAGATTTGAATGGAGATTATTCTTCATTGCAGTTTCCTTTTCGTTTCGTTTCTTGCTTCACATTTGAAGTTGTTCACAAAACTAAATGAATGGCCAGAATGCAGCACCACCAGCAGGGGATGACATATTTAGCCTCAAGGAAAAGAGTGGAGGGTGTAGAGAGAACAGCGGCAATAGTTGCATTCCAATTAAACGAATTAATTACTGCACTCTTCCGAATAGCTAAAGGTGAGGATGATGCTTGTCGTTGTTGCATCTGCTCTCTATTATTTAGCTTAACGATGTATATGAAATTACGCGGATCTGCCGTGTGCCAAGGGTTGGGGGAGTAAAAAGAAATCTATAGATTAACAGGAGAGAGGGAGAGAAGATAAAAATATCGTGGTTCTGAAAAAGGCTATATGAGATAATTATGTAGCTTTTCATGTTGATCTAATTAATATAATTGCATTTTTTAAATTCGAAGATGTTTGATGCCCCAGAAAGGCCGCACCAGGACTGTAGAGCTGAAAGCAAAACTATCATTATGGAATTTGGAATTTTCTCCACTAGACCGTGAGTTGATTACCCCTAAGATCATACATATGTAACGCCCAAAATTCGCCAATACCTGTTTTGGGGCATAAGATGACTTTATGATTTTAAATCTGATTTATTACTGCGATGACAATTTAATAAGCGGACATCGGGTCAACAGTCAACATAAGATATAAAAGGAGGTGCTTTCGTGATGATCGGGGCGCTCCGGGACACCCTAAGGAGAAGCCCAGATCCTGATCGTCATCCCATCCAGGTATCATTGTAATAATAATGCAAATTATTAACGTACATGAGAAAAGTTGTTTCACTGGCTATTTGGAAAACATCGAAGTCAACTCCAAGACATATGGGACTGCTGGACTTTCTTTCCAGCATTAAAGATGAAAGTTTAGTAATCGTCGCGTCCTTAAAGACTGTTGGCCAATAAAGAGATGTTAGCCAATCATATGGATAGTAAACACCAGTCTGATGTTGCCGCGGATAACTATTTCCGCAGTCTTGTTAGCACTGCAGTGGGAGATTTAGACAACGATGCACCGCTCGTTAATGTGTATTCAGCTGTAATCAACGATGAACATAGATGGGAGGACAAAGGCTCTGACATGGTCGGGTCTGCAATAGCACACCGTGCTCCAAAGGAATCGTATGACATCGACAAAGATCCAGACTTTGCCGTGAAGAAAGCAGGAAAAATCAAAATGATTTTCCTGTCGGTACTTTTTAATCACTGCCTCAACATGGGCTATTTCCCAACAGCATGGAAGTTGACACTAGTTGTACCAATCCCAAAGCCTGGCACAAATGCGTCTTTTCGCGGAAGCTACATAATGGAATTTATAGACGTCCGGCATTCGACTTCAGGCGGATCGATGTCCGAATGATGAAATCCTTTCCAGGAAGTTGGAAAGGATCCTGTTTTGGGAAAATTGAATAGTGGAGATATATCGGGAGTGCAACGAAAAACTCCACTCCATACATAGAAGGAGGAATTAAGTTTCAAGTTAATTTAAGTTTGGCTCTTTTGTTTTAATTTATTAAGGCATGTAAAGTTTTATGAATGTGGAAATGTGGAAATACGAGCCCTTTTGCTTTAAGACGAAACATCGGGCTGTCGCTGTGCCTCGCTGCCACTAACCACCGTTCTTTGAAGTGAATCTGGCTCCGACCAATGTGCAATAAATGTCGACCGCGTAGCTATAATTGAAATACATCTGTCATAAAATTTTAAAGTGTGTTTGCCCCTGCTAAACCTATCCCAGCTTCAAAGTGGTTAACACGTCATCTCATATATATAAAAATAGAGTGGGTCCTGTATTTACAATTTTCTACGTCGTCATAATTTAACCACCAAGAACCAGTAAACGAACCTCGATACGAACCTTCTGGCTATGGTCCGAGCTAAAACTGAGTGTCTGAACTGGATAACTTCAAACTCTAGACAAACAACAATATATCATCAACCTTCAAAACTGTATCGTCGGAGCATTCCTTATGTCACTACCTTCTTAGTTGGGTTCCCACATTTCTTTCCCAAGCTAAATTATAATATTAAATATCTTCAGTATTATTTATAGGTTTAAAATTCCCTTTTTTTATTTCGTCTTCTCTCACTCACAAATTATTAGTATATTAATATAATGAAATAGTATAATCTCTCCTTTCAAATCTAATCGCACAAATTAGTAGAATAAATTATCCCCCTTCCGAACTCTCAATGAAAATGAAGTGACTTCAATTACATTGTTTACACTTCATTTGTTCGCAGATTGTATTTAACGCTATCAGCATCGAACATCATTATAGGAAATAATCTGGCAATATGCCGCAATAAATTCTCCTAGAATGGCAAGTGTAATGCAGTTTACAGTTTCCTACCAACCAGGATCATTCCTTCATTTAAAATAATCCCAAAAAAATATTGATTCCCAATACCCACATAGACATACAATCCCAGCTAGCCAATTCGATTCGCACTTTAAGGAACAAGGTTGGTCATTGAACCAACCAACCGAGCAACCAGCCATCTATCCATCCATTTAACCTACCAATCTACTATGGATGCTTACCCGGTGTAATCGAGTGATTAAAATCAACAGATTTGATTTCTATTGACTGGCACTTGTCTGGTCAGTAGACCAGTCAATATCAAATTTCGTCTATAGCCTCCCACCATGTAAAGATCTGTGATGGCTAGGAATAAAATATTTTTTTTTTTGTTTTTTCTTTTTTGTACGCAAGTTATATACGCAGCAGTGTAGAAAGGGGCGAAGTGAGTTCTATATGTAATCGCAAATTTTTGTAAGTATTTTTTAGGTAACGGGAATTACATGTTGTATAACGGCGACCATAACTTTTAGATACTTGAGAAATATGAGTCCTCAGAGATTTCAGCTGAAATGTAGTTAAATTCGTTTAGGCTTAAATATTAAGTAGGCTCACCTAAAACCTTTACATAACGCCTAAAGAAAAACAAATATTAATGTTCGAAGTCTGACCGTTTGGTTTGCAATGAAGTATGTAAGCCTTTAACGATACTGTCAAAACCATCCAAGTATTTAACATTTCGAGTCATAATGTATAATTATTTGCATTATTGTTGTTGTCGGATTCGTTGGTATCAGTCGCACACAAAGCACTGATTTTATAATCCTTATGTTACCTTTTTGAGCCCTTATATTTTCCCTCCTTGATTCCCCACCACATCACCTTCATCCTTTATACGTCCTAACCCTTACTTATTATATTTTATTTTATTCTATATGATGCCTGTCACATTCAGGAGGTGTTCGCAAATTAGTTCATTTCATCGTGCTCGTTAGTTAAATCTGAATTACATTTGTATACCTATTCAGGTTTTGTACCAGGGTTTGATATCTTTCGCACGTTTAGCATTTGTCGAGCTTGTGATAGGGTCAATATGGCGTTGCTAATTTTTTGTTCTTGTTTCTTATATGCCATCATAGTTTCGGGTTTATTCTCGACTTTGACTCCCGACAAAAAAAAAAATGTTCGAGTCACAGTCGTGTTAGTGATGGGGAATTTGCAGCAGGTTCTACGCTACCGAAGTGACGCGAAACAACAACACTGTTTTTGGGCCAACTTCTGACATTCCCGATGGTGATTATATTCGTTAAACCAGCTAATTGTGTCCCGCGTTATTTGCAATAATTATTTTGGGGCTATTTAGTGAACGATTTTATATACCTCGTTACCGCCATTAACAAAACTAATAACATCAGCTTTGAAATCCGGAGGAGAATAGTGTTGGCCAACATGCCACTAGGGTCTGAGTAAGCAACTCAAAAGTAAGGCCACCTCTCGCCAGTCCAAACTTACACTCTACAAGACGCTGATATTACCCGTGCTGTTGTATGGATCTGAAGCATGGATACTTGTCCAAGCAGATGAGGCAGCTCTTGGGGTGTTTGAGAGAAAAAGAGACATGTTGTGAGAATGGATGAGGATGCTCAAAAGGCATGTAAAAGCGAGCCAACTGATGGTTCACGCAGAAGGAGAAGGCCACGAATTCAATGAAAAGATCAAGTAGAAAACAACATCTCAGTAAATGTCCTTTCAAATTGGATGAGATGCGAACAAGACCGACACACTTGGAAATCTTTTTTAAGCTCCCGAAAGTGACAGGGCGGGGGTACTACGTCGAATTAGATATCCTCCAGCATAGTTTATGAAAATATTCACGGGCACAGAATGTGGGAAATATTGGTACAAACTCGAAATAAGATCTAAAATGAGTTTTCATATTTTTTACATTTAGACAGATTTTTGAGATTTGGTATATTCTATGACATTTAGTAAAACTTTATGGCGAACATTTTTGTAGAATATTCTGACCTGCTAAAAACCCGTTATAAATTTAGAAAGACCCCCTCAGAGAGTCGATTGAAGGTTAATGTATGAGACATGAATATTCCTCACATTTGTATCAATATTATTGCCAAAGACACCATATACCTAGAATGCAATCCAGAAATCTTAGTCTGAATATTTTCAAATGTCTTGGAAATTGGAAATATTGTCACGGCTTTTTAGGTTAGGATACACGTGTGCTCTAGTTTTAGACCCTCTAGCATATTTTATGGAATTTCCCGATATACCCCACACAATGATGTCAGGGT